ATGGCTACATTCAATGAGCACTGGCCTGGAGAGCCTACACAGACAGTTCTGTATGTCAGTGGGCAAAAAGATAAGGTGACATGACAGTGCGATAGAAAAAAAAAAAGAAACAACAGATTCACTTTTGCAGTCCATAATCTGGAGGTACATGTAAATGAAAGAGCAAAGTAATATTTACTGCATACAAGTAGGGTCTGAAAGTATTATAGATGACCTATGAGGAAGCAATAACCTGGCAGGCGAAAGCAATTTGAGGTCCACTGCAGCGCTGAACAGCAATGCCCCATGTACTTCTTATTCAGGCTGTATTTCTTCACAGCACCTCTGGCTGGTCACGTGCTCTGAATTGAGTCTGTCAGGGAAAGAGAGCAGGATTGCAGGAGACAGTACTAAATATTAAGGGCTCAAGGGAAATTAGAAACGACGCTACGCCTGCCGATGTTATGATCATTCTCAAGCACTGCCTAACCAATGCGCAGTGTTCTTTCTATCAATCTCTCGAGTTGCTGTGCACTGGAAGCGCCTTTGCCTTTTGAAAAGCATGTATACCTGACAGAAAACAAAGTCGTGGTGTTATGACACAATTAGAAAGAAGTAGTCACCAGCCGAGTTCAGGCAATGGTGTCTTCATGAACCTGAAGCTTAGAAGCCTATCTTATCTTGATGTCATCATGATCCTCTTACCACCTATCTTATCAAGAAGTGTGATTCATTCACAGGTGCCTCACGGGCTAAGTGAGCAGGTCAGTGAACAAAAGAAATAGAAAAGTCCATTTGTCATCTTGTTTTCTGGCTCATAGCAGCAGTAACCCTGTCTAATACTTGTGTAAATGTGTATTTAGAATGTGTGTCTTGTTCCTGTAAGATAGTGGCCTTCTTGTAATAAGTCCTCTCCAAAACAGGTGTAACTACAACTTTAATTAAGATACATGAAGCTGTAACTCATATTACAGGTATAATCAGTCATTGACTCTAATACACCTGTATTACTGTATGTAGAATAGATTGTATTTTTCAAAATGTCTTATGATTATGTGATTACATAATTTGTTAACCTTACATTGAGGTAAAGTGTCTTAATATCCTGAATGAAATATGAAAGTATGGAACCTTCATTCTAGACAAATAATCTGGTACCAATGTGGAAGTCAGTGATTTATATGTGACATTAATGTTAATGTTGATGTTTTTAGTAGGTGATTGATCATTCCATTTCTTTTGTGTGTGGAGGGGTTGTGGGTTTTTTACAACATATATTTTGATAATGTATTCAGATGTTTCGGAAGCAATTGCTGAGTATGTGCTTGAAAGAAGATGGGAAAACACATCAAATTAAATGAAAAGTCCCAGAGGTCGTCTACTTAGATAAAAGCTAAATTCATTACTGCTGCCTAATCTGCTGCTCAAATGATGACTTACATCAGCAGAAGACTGAATCTTGAGATTTTTGGTCCTTTTAAAGCTCTGCCAGGAATACACCGTTTCCCGTTTACCTCCTTAAAGTTGATATTGATGTACCGGTTTATTGTGAAAATGAAAGATTGAAGTACTCAGTCCTTTGTCAACTATAATGTCCTGGTTAAAGTCCCTAAGAGCCAAAGACAAATGAGCGACAGATACTGCCTTGGCGTGCCAAAATCTGAGCGTTCTTCCTACTACATGCTTCAGTGGAAGCAAACATGCTTCAAATAGGCAATCTGTTTGTGAATTTCCTGTAGAATCTGAATTACTCTCCCGACCTTCTTCTCAGTAATAACACAATATTTATCTATCAGAGAATGAATAGAAATCAAGAGATTTTACTGCTTTTAAAGTAATGATACTTTTTTTCGCTGCAGTTTCTTACATTTCATTGATAATGGGGTAGGCTTCTTTCAAGACTCATTTGGATTCCTCGTATAACCTTCTGTATGCTGAGTAGATTGTGCATAAGTTTGTTTTTTTCAGTGAAACTGCAGCATATCTCACATTTAAGACCACAGATCTTCAGACCTTAATTTATTCTTTCTGGGTAGGATATGATTACATGGATGGGTGACAGTTGTGAAGCAATAAGTCGCTGAGCAACAGGTGAAAGCTGTGGTAAAAAAAAAGGACACTGACAATGGTCAGCACACCATCATGTTTGCAAACATAAAGCACGGGAGAACACAGATTAAAAAGAAAATGGAAAGAATTTAATCACTGCTTTCCTCACAAAGCTAAAGTACTTAAAAACGCAATAAAACAAGTCAGTTTGAAAGTTACGTTCACAAGTGGTCAAGAGGGTAGCCTCAACAATGCTGTGTGCGCCTATACTTTGGTGTAAATCTGGATTTGTTTTTAGTCTCTGTCTCCATTTCTGTGTCCAACTCTCTCTGCCACTGCAGTCCCTTGCCCTCTGTCAAAAGGGAATGGAGAACTGGGAGCCCTCACCTATGTCTGGGATATAGCCTGTTAGTCTCTGGTGTGCTATGCACTAGTGAACTTAAATAACAGAAGACATGTACTGTATGTACCCTCCCCCTGCTGTAGCCTGCCTTGTTGATCACAGTGTATAAAAATGTCTTTATCCAAAGGGGTTTATGAGAAACTTGGGCAAACGTTAACAAAATTGCTCTGTGTAGCAGCTTCCATTAGTTTCCATCTGTTTCATGAGATGTTGTCATGTACAATATTAAAGCTATATTAAAATCTGTTAAAAAGCGGAAAGGAACTTGCCAGTCATTATCCAATTAGTCTCTTCACATCGCTGGCATAATCTTCAGCTTCAAAGATATATTTTAAACCAGTTATGGAGTGAATTGATATGATATGCAATATTCAAAGAAATCTATTTCGTTCTAAGCTTTTTAGACAAAATTTAATATCACTATAAATTCAACATGAGAAGTGGATTATTTCACATCATTGAGAAGCCAAAGGTATTCATAATGTATTTTTTTTGTTGTTGGAAGAATGTTTTGCCAGCCAAAATCTGTTCTTGTATTGGATAAAGTGGATATTATACAGAAAGTTGTGTATAATAAAGTGTGCCTTAAAGAAGGCTGAATTAACATGCAAAATACAAAAGAAAAGCATATATTTTCACACCATTCATACAATGACTTTCCGATAGTTGTAATGTATTTTATACTGACAAAGGGGCAGGTACCAGTACTTTTCAGAGGAAAGTTGGGTTTACAAGCTGAAAACAAAACAGCATTTCTTCTTTATCAGTTTTTCTGTCATTTGTCTGGTTGTATCAGACAAAGCCTGATAGACATATCTGTTCTGCCCACACAGCCCCAGATGGAATCCCACTGTGTGTCAGTGTTCTCCTTCATAGGTACCTTTACTGTACTCTGGAGAACCAATTAGTCCATTTCAAGACTGGATAATTACAAGCTGGAGATGGATAATTACAAGTTGATAAGATTCTCCCTCTGATATCCCAGTACAGATGAACAATGGCACAAAGATCTTTCTCTGACCCTTTAAGTGAAGCTATGAAACATTTATTAATTAAGCTCAATAGAGAGTCATTGAATGGCAGTTCGGTTCATTTTACTTTTGACACTTTTGGAAAAAAAAATGTATAGCACATGTATAGTTTATAAGCTAGTATAGCTTACAAAACGTTCATCCCACCTTTGCAAAAAATCTGAGAACATGGGTCTCTGTTATAACAGTATACCATCTATTAAAATTATTAGTAATGGTTCATTTCTGGAGTTATACATTTTTATAAACAATTATTACAGTACATCTAACCCTAGAATTAGAGTTAAAAGTATTTTAACTTAGGCTGTTGTCAGGGTTAGTGTTTTGTATGAAAAGTGGTGTGTTCATGAGTGGCTGTTACTGAATTTATAACATGATATTACTTTCTATATTCATCATAAATGTAATTTCCTATCTCTAATGGTTAGACTTAATGAAAATTCATCATTCTTTGACTGCATAAAAACATCCAGTATGAATAATATTACAAATGGATACAAGTGCATTTATTTGAAGTATTGATAAACAGAAGTTACTGAGTTATGACAGTGTCACAGAAACAACCTTTAGCCTTTATTTTTCGCTGGTACCAGTCCAGAGAAAAGCAAACATACCATACATTGCAGAGCTCATGGGAATGCCCACTTCTAACAGGCTAAAGCAATAGATACTCTTCAGTCCACACACCAGGGAACACAAATGGGAACTATGTTGAAGTACATTTAAAGCCGAGAACAGGAGGCACTTCTTTACCGAAAGGGCTGAGGGAGCATGGAACAGGCTCCCTATCCGTCTTGTGCCCTGTGTTCTTTCAAAAAATGCTGGACACTATACTGTATGAAATCCTTGGTTCAATTAACTATACGAGTTACTGTAGCTGAGCCAAAGGGCCTCCTCCAATTTTTAACTGCCCCTTTGTTTTTAACCAAGTGTGAAAATGAAACATATACTGTACATAATGACTACTGGGTATTTGGACAAGAATCTAACAGCAATAACATTTTTTACTTCATTTGGGAGTAAACAAAGTCAATTCCAACAACTCTTCCAATTCAACAGCAGAGTCAAGATGAGAGAGAATCTTAAAACAGGTGTAGTCGGGGATTTTTTTTTTACACTCTTTTTGGGAGTGTGAAAAAATATCCCTACCAGCACGTCACATTGTAAATTCTCTTTGATTTAGTCTCCTCGAGAGAATAAGTTGAAAATCTTAAACAATCAGTGAGCTAACAAGTTTAGTAACTGTTTTTCATTTGAAAACTTTATAATATTTTTTGAGTGTGTATAAATTTGTTGTCCATTTAGCAGAGTCTATCTGCTTCTTGCATCATGTTGATCCATTTCAAAAAGAGAAAGAGCAATTTGGGTTATTGGGTATCATGGTTTGTTATTTTTCTTTATCAGTGACTGCCCTACAGCACATTCCCTCCAATCCTCTATAGTAATTATCCTGCCAAATAAAATTTGGTCCTATTGTGGAAATGTGAGCGTAACCCTTTCTAATTTTCCCTCCACCAGCAACTGGGTACCGTAGCTAGTGAAGCCAGTGAAGTTCCTCATTGGCTATCTAAAACTATCATTTGATGGCACGTTCATCACAAGGTTCATCCGAAACACTGCCAGGGATGTCTCCTTCATGAGGTGAGCTGTAAAGATGGATTTTAAAAAAAATACTTCTATGTAAACAACTTTCAACGTTTAGAAAACAACTTTATTATGTTGCTTTTTTCTGTAAAATTGATAAATGTGCTTAAAGGTGTTAAATACGGAGAAAATCACAAAGAGAGGGTTTAAGTCATTTGCAACTGAAAGGATGTTCTTTTTGGATTTTAATACATTAGGTGCCATCATGGGAAATCACTAGTTCCTGTAGAAATACAACACAAGAAAACTCATTTCAGTTTGAAGGACAGTCCATTGTTCTCAACTTACAAATAAAACCTAAGTGAAACCACTTTTAGAGTGCCTTTTGTATGTTTCCGAAGGAAATGACAGCTTTTGAAGCTTTGAAGCTGAACTTGCATTATTTAAGGGCACTGTATATTGTATAGAGATGAACAGTTATTTCACAAAAGATGGGTCTTAGTTTTTTATCCTTGTTTCCTGTTTTTGAGGTTCTGATTTGATGCATTTAGTTTACTATTAATGTTTTTCAAAATCTGTATTTTTTTGCCATTTTCACAGATATTTTGTGATAAGGTGTTTGAAAATGGGAGTGTTTGTAGTTATGTACGTAGTAGTAATGGTTAGGTGCTTCTTGTTGAAATGAAGTTACTGTACTTTAACGGTAAGCCATTTACAAGCTTGATGTGTGCAATTTGCCATCTTTCAATACACAGCTGGTTTTAAATAATACAACTAACTTGTAATGGTGAATTTCACAGTCCAGCAAAGAGATACAGTACCAGCACTACTTTGTGTGCTGTTAAAAGGCAAAAAAAAATCAATATTGTCCTAAACCATACAGTATAAACCCCCAGACGCTTATCAGAGAGAAACACTAGCTTCATCAAAACCTTTATTGTTTTGTCAATTTCGGTTTTATTTTTTCTGTCAAAGCAATATTAATTTGACTCATTTCTTGGTTATATTTCTACGGTGATGTTAATTAGCACCTCAAGTTATTTTTTTCAGCAAATTTATTTTTTCTTGTTAAATACGGCTCTGATGTGTTATTGAACATTTCTCCTTGCAAATAATTGCTTAACTACTGTAAATAAGCAACTGAAAATGGGAGAAGCAATTAATGTCCATATAAATGGAGGAATATGCTTATGATGAGTGACTTGATCCACAAAAAAAAAACATTTTTTTACAAGTACAGTACTTACAAATGGTTATTTTTTAAACATTTTACTGAGGCTTTTAAAATTTTAACAAACTACTATTTCTGCGTTGTTATTGTTGACTCCAGCCTGCACAGTAGTTTCTTCTTATTCTCGCACAAAGAGCACAGATGTTGCCACTGTTGTTAACTGCCATTTTCCATTTATTGTTAACAAATGTACAGGACATCTCACTTTTGAAATGGAATATTACAGCTAACCGCCCCTTCTTGAACAGCTCTTGCACAAGAAATTAGAATAAATAAGCAGACTAATTTTAATAGCTGTTCCACATGCAATGATCAAAATTATTTTTTTCAGTCTTTTTTGTCTCAGTGGAGGTTGAAACTGAATGTCTGGCCATCAAGTAACCTTTTAAAAGCTTTGGAAGGTGCATACTTATTATTTTAGTATCCTTCATAGCATTAGTAATTATGAACAAGAATATCTTTATCCTTGTACAGTTCCTGTGGTTCTGTTTTATGGATGATATCATGCAGATACCTTTTACATGTGACATTTGCTCAACCATTGAAATTCAGCATAGTGTATGTACAGCTGACAATTATACTACAGTGGCATTGTAGTATAATTAGTTTATAATAATGTTCTGCCATCAGTTAATGCTGTGAACTGAGAAGAGCAGTGCAACTTCCATTTTACTTTGTCGGTGAAAAAAAATATTCGCTTTCTCAGCATGGATACTAATTTGACCTTTTAAGTGGTCACTTTAAAGTGTACATTTTGCAGACGAGTAAAATGATCTGGAAACTGTCAGGTAATAGCCTGAGATCAGCATCAATCATCCCATTTGTGTAAATGGGCTGGATATGGAACCTTTTAGCTTCTAAACATTTACCAGAGTAATGGGTTGTTTATCAGATACAATAACATGTAACTGGCAAGCTATTCATTCACTTTCTTTTCCAGGTCAAAGACTTTATAAAAAGCACAGCCGGAGTGCAAATGGTAGTGGTTGAACTGTTTCCATCCCTGACTTGGCCTGGAGTTTAAAAAACTGTACTTTTTGTTTCAGTCAGTCTTGAGATGTTGAGGACAGATTGATGCTAGTTAACCACAACATCATTTAAACGACAAAACTCAGTAAGACGTAATGTCTGAAGGAAGATGTTGATGAAAACTAGCCAACTGAATTATATTTTCTAAATTATTTTAATCTCAATTCAGATGTGGGACTAAAGCGTGAAATTCGTAATTTGGAATTAAAATTCAAATGTCTCTGTGCAATAATAAGATTTTCGTTTAATAAACCAAATGGAGTATAAACTCATAAAACTACTAAATTTACCATTAGTTGCCTTCATTTGTTCCCATAAAAACTAGAACTGGTGATATTCTGTTTTACTACTGCAGTATTCACTATACTGTTATATATGCAGAAAGTAGAAAAGATGATATGGCCTTACCTCTTTTACATTGATTTCATATGTATGAAATCAATTTCATGTACTGTATACATTTTTAAAATATTTTTTGATGACATGATTCTCTCTTCCCTGGTGTTAGAGTATTATACAGTAAATTACAATTAAGTTCAGCCCAGCTGAGTCTATAGTGTACATTAGGAAACGTTGGCATGTTAAAATCTAATACAAAAAGAAGAAACTAAGTTACAAAACTTATCAAAACTATGCTTGACCCTTCTGTAATTCTCTACAGCATGCTTCTCAATGAAAGCTCTTAGGCGAAGGAAAACAAAAACGATTATCTTGGTTAATTTGCTGCATTATTTTAAGCTGGGCTAGCCTATTGTTTTCACAGGAGAGCTCACAATCCGTGCAATTAACTTTTAAATCAAACATTTTGGACAAAATGACAGTTACTTGGAAAGTAAAGCTACTGTAGGTGCTCGTTCATTTCAGCCCTTTTGGAGAGAAAAATGTTGTTTTCTTCAACATAAAGATGTTGCTGTTTGCGCTCTGTGTTGTACCCCAAATTGCACAATGAAAAAAAATCCAAACTAATGTATCTACAGTAGCTGACATAAACAAGCATATGACGGTGCGGTGGCTCTGTTTATAGCGAAGGAACTGAGCCTGTGGCTGGAAGGTTGCCGGTTTGTATCCCGCGGGCCCTCAACCCCAACAGCTCCAGGGGCGCCGTATAAATGGCTGACCCTGCTTTCTGACCCAAAGTTGGCATAAGAGAAAAGATACATTCTTAATACAAGAAATTGTACATGGCCAGTAAAATTATCTTATCTCATCTATATTAATGAACTCAACCTCTGTCTGCAGGGTGAGAATCAAACTCGATAGGTCTTTTTGAAAGGTGGAAGGCATTTTTCGCAAAACATTTTCCCGGGATATTGACACCTCAACGTTCTGCTGTTCACAACATTTTAAACAACTTTCAAAAGATTGCATAATCCATGCTGCTGAGTTTGCAGCGTACTTGTGACAACTGGCCTCAGATTTATCCTGTCAGATTTCCAGATTTCCCAATATTTTGGCTCCATGTTTTCTTTTCAGATGAAACCATAGAGCATTGATACCAGCGGCATACGTTTTTCAGCAAGGAGCAGTAAATTGTAAAACGTGCATATTATTTTATTAATTTTAGCTATTATATTTTAATATATTTTGTGAGTAAAGTTATAACTGACATAAAAAAGAGTTCGTAAAATAGATGCATGAGCTAACTCAAATTCTGAAAGGTTGTTGACCCCTGATCTGCATGGTAATGTGTGTAACCGCAGAGCTTTCAAGATTGCAAATTGTTGAATTCTGCACGCATCTCTTGGGATATTTTTATTTAGGAATTATATTTATTGTTTTAAAATAAAAAGATTTATATTTGAGCACAGCTGGCTTTGTGACACTACATTGATTGCCCTGTCAGTTTTCCACCTTGTCACTGTTTACACAATGAAAACTCTGAGGGGCTGATTTCACTTCAGTAAGGGCTTCAGTTCTGCTGGTCTTTGTGCTGGATGCATCCACACAGGCCTCACACAGGTCCCCAGAGGTTAATTAAGTTGCATCACTTTACCACCCAGACAGTCTCCTCTACCTTTCAGCTCCAAAACACTGAGCTGTGCAGCTAACAACTGTTCTTCCAGCAAGATTCAGACATGGTAAGTCGGAGCCATGCGCAGTAATTAATATGACAGAGTTGCACAGCACAAGACTGGAAGTCAAAAATAAGGTGCAGAGTCATTTCAGGGGCACAGAAGACAATTCCTTCAAGAGAAATCAGTTTCGAGAAAATAAATTTAAAAATCCTGCACATGCATTGAAGAAAGTCTGCATGAATTTGAGTTTCAGTAATGGACAAGATACATACACTGTATAATATCAGTTTAGCAGTTCAGACTTTTGTCTTTGAACAAAACCGAACCATTTTTGCAAAGTCAATACATGAAAACAAATTTTCAGCTTGTCATCTGGGTTTTTTGATGCAAAAGAAGCTTTAACATTGCTTTCAGCTCATAACCCATTGAAATTAGTACAAAATGTACAAAATCAAATATATCTTTTTTTTAAATATTAATGTAATTCGTCCTTGTAAAACAGCTTGTTATTAAGGAATTCAAAGCTGATTGCTGATCAGCAGCACCACAAACTAAACTGAATGTTGATCATTTTGAAAAACAAACTACAACTAAAGAACAAAATGGAAGAATACAATCAGGGCACCTTAATATTTGTTTCTTATCTTCACATTTAAATCTTTTAAAAGACATAAAAATCACCTAGTCGTGACAACATGATTAACTACAGTACAATACAACACTAGCCATTAGGTGCTGCCTAAATATGCCTGCCGGTACTTTAATCTTGTAAACAATTTAAT